GCATTTAAGCTGGTGTCCAAACACTAAGATGGAAGCACTCTAGGCAGAGGCAACAGTGCAAAGTTATGAAGTGGGCCTCCAAGTGCCAGGGAGACCAGAGTTGGCGGCTCAGAGGGCAGATTAGAAGGGGTGGGAGTGGAGATGTGCCCGTGTGGATGTCTGGGAAGCCTCCCATGTCCAGCTAGTGCATACAGAACAAACCCCTCAGTCACCACGCCCATCATGATGTCATCGCCCCCTCCTTCCTGTACTAGGCCCACTCATCTCCAAGTCCTCCCTTTTCCTTCTGTCTAAAGAAGGCTCCTCCTGTCTACCTTATTGTGTGTGCCACCATGGCGCAGCCCTGGTCCCGAGGGTCTCCCCCCTAGTCTGCAAGGAGCCTCTAAAGCATTTATCAAACTCGTTCTGCCACTGCTTCCCACCCCAAGTTCTCTTTCTCTGTTTTGTCCTTACATGTATGCTAGTTCAAGTCAGGGCAGAAGCGTTATCTCCTTAAAGGAAACCTGGAGTTGTTAACCACCCCACACATTCTTCAGTCGCTTGCAGAGAGCATTTGGGAGCTTGACATTTGTTATGGGGGGGCACTTATTTTGGTTCCTCAGATCTTCACCCACCCATGTTCACATGGATGCTTGGGCTCAGACAGTTCATCTTCTTATAGACATACAGGCCTGCCAGTTTGGACTTGGTCCTTCTGAGTGTCAAGCTTCCTCCTAAAATCAGACAAATGACAGATGATGTGATCAGAGAAATGTTTTTACCACAACCTTACTGTTTCCCCTCCATTTCAAAGTCCAAGGCCAGAGCCTCTCCCCTGGGTTCCTTGGTGTCTCAGCTTGGAAAGATGAGACAGTTTGGACGCTCTGTGTATTTGGCGTTCAGTTCCATGGTGCCCCCTGCCCCCATCTCCTGTACCCTTTGTCACCAGCTCATCACCCTTTCCCGAGGGGTGTTGTAGCTAGAACTTCGGTGCTGTCCAGTCTGTCAGCATGTAGGTCAGGAAGCATTCCCGTGGGAACCATGGTGCCAACAGTCGGTGAGGACAGGCCCCCAATACCTGCCACCACCACTGCGTCTGCTATCAGAACCAAGAACAAAGGAGCTTGGTGCCTGCCGCCTGGTGGGCTGTTTGTCCAGGGTGAGGCCTAGCCTGGCACAGATGCTGAGTAAACAGGAGTGCCAGCCTCACTAGTCTGCCTTTCAATAAGCAAGTCTTTAATCGGGATGCGTTGCCCCTCAGCCACCTGCTGAAAATCCACCCTGGTCAACACCAAACAACTTTCCAGGACAGAGAGGGTCAGAGGACAAGCAGCCCCCTCTTTCCACCTCGGCATCCCCAGCCCCACAACCCAGAGTTGGATAAGATGGTTTCTAAGATTCCTTCTGTGGACTAGAGCTTTGCTAGAGGTTTCTGGAAGCTTTTAGAACTTAAGAACACATTGGGCCTCTGAATAAGGCATTCTGCTCCCCCATGCCCCCACCCCAGCTCCAGGGACCCAAACACACCTCCCTCCCTGCCCAGGGAAACAAAGCTCTTTCAAAGCAATATCCCCAGGCTCTGGATTCATGACCTCACCCACCCTGCTGGGGTTTTCCTGGAGTATTGGGGTGCTTCGTGGTCAGGGGAACAGGTCTGTCCACCACACTACAGAGGCCACCTTGAATCTAATTCTCATTCTTTGGCCCAGAAACCAGGGGGTGGGTAAGAAGGCACTGAGGAACCATGAGGTGACAATTACCCACTTAGGACAATAAGGGGATGCATGGTGGTCATGACTTCAGAATTCAGTACACTTCAGAACCACACAGAATTTTGGGCTCCACAGTGCAGAGATTCTGAGTCCTAAGGTCGGAGGTGGGGAAGGACAGCTCAGGGGTCTGTTTTGAACATTGGAGCTCCTTAGTTCTTTGAGGAAGGGAAGTGGGTGTCTATAGCTACGCAGTCCTGGGTTCAGCTCCTACCTCTTTTTAGCTGTATGACTTGGGGCAAGTCATGTACACGTACGCACATGTACAAGTCTCTGTATTTTCTTTTCTTCAGTTTTGCCTGTAAAACGAGGCTATACTAACGCCCACCTTGAATAAGTGTGAGCTATTGTTTAGGGTGTTTATTGCACCTTGTAAATGTTCTAAGAAATGAACCCGCAGAAGTTCATTGCCGGAACCTAGAGGTTCCCTTTGATGTTTCCGACTGCCTCTTCTCACCCACCTAGTCACAAATTCTAGCAAACTCTATCCCCTAAATACACTTCAAGCCTGTCCTTGTTGGCTCCTCCTCAGAGTTATCACCCTAGTCTAAGCCACTGTCCTGACACCGCAAGAACCTTTTTACTAGCCTCCAGGATTCAAACTTTGCTTTTCTGACTTTTCATCCTCCCCAGATCAGCCGTGCCAATCGGATAGGGCAATGCCGCCGCTGTTTCAAAAGAGCTCTGGGGAAAGCTATATAACGAATCAATAAAAACAAAAAACAAAAAAACAAAAACAAACAAACAAAAAAAACCCATTCTCTGGACCGCTCCACAACTACTCAGCCTCTTTCCACCTCTCTCATCTCAGCTTCCACACCCAGGCTATTCTAAACTTTCGGATTCTTCGATTCTAGGTCTTAACACAAAGTGTGTGCTCTCTCTGCCTGTAAATGCACCTATTATTCATCTTTCATACTGTCACTCGGATGCCGTTTCCTTAGACCTAACGTTAGAAATGATCCTCATGTGTGCTCCGAAAATCTAGGTTCTTTCTCTGCAGGAATGCTTGTTACTCCCCGCTGTGAGCTTCTAAGCTACCTCCACCGCTCACATGGCTCCAGGATAACACAGGCTTCCTCTGCCCTAGCCATTCTTTGATACATTGTGGTGCCCAAAAGTACTTATTGAAGAAAATTATCACATCTGAATGGACGAATAAATAAACCCTTGAGAAGCCCCGGGAGCGGGCTCTGCTGATGTGGGTGGGTAAACCCCACCCCAAACCCTTTCCCCACTCGCTAAGGCCTATGCTGGGTCTGGATGTGCCTGGGAGAAAAAGCCACTTGACGAAGTCCCAGGGGTCTGCTAGCCACAGGAGGGCGCCCCCAGCTCGTTCTTTCGGGTTATCACCGCCTAGAACTCGAGCTGGTTACTAATCGCCCGTGGGTGAAAGGGGCGGGATTATCCAATTGACGGACAGTATGGCTCCGCCCAATCTAATTCATCTTTTCCTTGGCTCCTCCTGTTCCAAGCCCCAAGACACCGAGGGTGGGCTCGGTGAAGGAGCGGCCAACTGAACTCCAGCAGAGTGCTCTCGCAGCAGAACCAGCTGGCTGGGCGGTCTGTGAGTGGGCGGCCGGCCTCTGGGGGCGTGGCCCGGGTGTTGACGGGCAGGCCGGTAGCCCCGCCCCTCTCGCCCAGAGCGGCCGCTCCAACGCGAGGACCAGCAGAAGTGAGTACGTGAGCGGCGCAGCCAGAACCCGGCTCCTACCTCGGACGGCGCGCGCACCCGGAGCCCGGGATCCGAGCTCGGCCCGCCGTGGACTGTACCCGGAGAACCGCGACCACCTGCACCCTCTGCCTCCCGAGTCCTCCGGCGTCCAGTCACGCAGCGCCCCGGATCCTCCTGGACCGGTCCGTCCAGATTCCCGCGGGACCGACCTGCCGGCATCTCCCCGGAGCGCCGGGTTGGGCGACACCTCGCTTACGGAGCCGCCCGTCTGCTTTGCGCCCCCTCCCTGCCGGCATCTCTTGGACTGTGTGCGAGCCTTCTCCTCGGGCGCCCCCAGCCCCGCCGGCGCGGCCCGGCTCGGCTCCCCGAGCGCCCCGGGCTATGGCCCGAGCCCGCCCGCCGCCGGGGCTTCTGCCGCTGCTGCTGCCACTGCTGCTGCTGCCCGCCAGCTGCTGGGCGCTGGAAGGTGAGAGGCGTCGGGGTCCCGCGCGCTACGGGGGAGCTTCGCCGTGTGGGGCCACGGGCCGAGCACACGTCCAAGGAGGCTCTGGGCTCTAGCCGGCTCCGCAGCCTTCGTTGGGGGAACTGCCGGCCCCCGGACTCAGCCCCGACTCCCGAAAGCCGCAGTTCGGCCGTGGGGTTTTGTGGGAATAGCCTACACTCTCAGCAGAGAAACGAGACCCTCGGGGTTTCGCACCTCTGGAAAGCGAGGAAATGTGGGCGACCCAGCAGACAAGGCGGGGGCTGCGGGACTGGGCGCTTGGGCGGGGTGAAGCGGGACTCCCGGGTTGGGGGGCTGCGCTGGTTGGGAACCCGTTGGAGTTAACTGCGAGCCTGAGTGTGTGCACCCGGCTTTGTCAGGGGATGGCTGCGGGGGTGGAGAGGCAGGGGGCCTGTCATTGTTTATGGTTTCTCAAGTGCCAGCAACACAGGAGGTGTGTGTCTGTTGTACACCTTCTCGGACCCACCCCACCCCCACTTCTAACAAGACCTTCCGAGGGCTTGGGTTTCCATTGGACCTCACAAACGAGGGTTTGCCCCGCAAGCTTCTGAGCCGGGTGGCTACTAGTCGTTTGTGGCGGAAAAAAAGGTCAGCCTTGTCTGTGGGTTCTGTGAAACCTACCAAGACTGCTGCTGCTGAGAAAAGATTGAACTTGAACAAACAAACAGCCTGAGTGTTACTGGCCCAGACAAGAGAGCTCACACTTACACCACTTGACATGAACCCACAGGGAACACCGGCACAGGTCACTAACACAGTCTAGAAGCACATGCAGTGCCCCTGCTGTTACAAAAATTGTGAACCCTTTAAGTGAGGAGTGAAAGCCTTCCTTAGTGTGGGGGCAGCACAGAATTGGAAGGAAAATTGGCATATAGGCAGTACTTAATGTCTGGTATCTTGGACAGAGCTAGACACTTTTTTAGTTGAGGAACAAAAACCGTGAACCCTATGTAATTTGGTTCCTTCCTTTAAATTCACGGTGTAAACTTATAGGTTGGAAGGGAAAAAGTCGCTAAAACAGTTCATAGAGGTTTCTGGTGCTTTGGGATTTCCTCCACGGGGGAAATCGCCCCTATGATTTTGGAGTCACTGTGCTGACAGATTTATTCACCTGGATGGACACATGCAAATTTAGACAGATACAGCGAGGTTGCACCCACACGTATACACACTCACCCACATGTGTGTGATAGGATCTCAGGCATGAGAAACCAGTGTGGGGCTTTGTTGTTGATTGTCTTAAGGGTGTGAAGGGAGCCTATTGAGTTCCCAGGTCTGTGATCGCTCGGGAGAGGCAACATTGGCACATGCACTCTGGGACATACACTTAGCGCTGCTGAGTGTCACCTGTCCTCTGGCCCCTTTGTGGTGCTGCAGAGAGTGGAGTGTGGGGGCAGTGTGGTTTGGACGAGGTGAGCAAAGGCTCCCTGAGCAGGCCCTTCCCCTCCTTCTCTTCCGTCACAATCCTCAGACAGACCCCATGGAATAACCGTTCTCCAGGTCTTCTGGGCCAAGCAGTGACTGAGAGGCCCTTGTGATCAGCTGTGAATGGGAGTCAGCGCTAGTTCCAGGCTGAGGGATGCTAGGCCAGTGAAGGAGACCCTGGAAAGTGGCGGGGCCTTCAAGTGTGGCTTTCATCATCGCCTTCATTTTTGTAATACCTCAGACCCTGTGTGAGAGAGAAGAAAAGAGACATAGTGCTGAGCGGAGTCAGCCCTTATTATTATTATTATTATTATTATTATTATTACCCCAGGGTCTACTCTTAGGAGAGTAGTGAGAAGTATCCTTATCCTACTAGAGGGGCTGAAAGGAAGGAGTGGTGGGGTGGGCTGGACTGGAAAGCTGGGGCATGTCTCCCTGCGCCTCTGAGGAGGAAGGAGATAGAGAGCAGAGTCCTGCCTAATACCAGCTGCCTTCTAGGACTTGGAGTCTGTGAAGGGTGGACTTCCAGGTCCTGGAGCCTGTCCAGGGAGCCCACTCCTGATGATCCATCTCCAGCTCCCAAACTTGTCAGGTGGTTTGCCCTTGTGTTTTGACTCTCCACAACATGTCATTGTCATGTAGACTCAGCGTGTCTGGGCTGCGGGTGCTGCCCGCGCTGCACCCACACGTTGGATGCTGCCTGACACCTGGTTCATTCTCTGCACACTTTTGAGTTTACCAAGATGCCAGGATCTCATCTTAGTTTTCCATTTGGTAGGAATCAGGATGTTACTCGTCCTTTCTAGTTGAAAAATTACCATTCACCCTTGCCCTTTGACTGCCCCACACCTGTGCGTGCTCACCCGCAAACACACAGGGATTGCCCTGGGACCTGGGAGGCCACCTCGTCACTCACTTTTCCTTTAAGGACTTTTTTTCTGGTTCCCGGTAGCCCAGATCATTCTAGGACCACGAATAAGCGGGAAAGGGTGTTCCGTGATGAAACGTGCTGAGGATGGGACCTGGGATGGGGGATGGCATCTGTGCCACGGGTCGGTGGTGTGTGTTTGAGAAAGCCCCAGCCGGGAGTAAGCCTTTCTGTGGAAAGAGAAAGAGTTCCAGCTTGAAGGAGGTGGGCTGGGGACATCCCACTTAGCCATGCTAGTTAAGTCCTCACTGCAGAGACGCCTGGTCCTGGGGAAGAAGCAGCTTTAGAAACCTCTGTCCTCTGAGGTTAGCTAGTGTGACCCTGAGCATGTGGGAACTGCCAGGGTCGCCGGCCGGGATTATCATGGCTTGCTTACTGCCTCTTTCTCCTGTTTCTGGCAATCCTCCACCTCCCCTACCCCATCCCCTCACCCTGTTCGTGTTCGTCACCTTCGGAGCTGAGGAGAGTCGGCAGCAGGCATCTAGGAGAACTGATTTGTCCCTCAGCGCCCTCCTCTCAGCCAGGGCTGCCTCACTGCCTGCCTCTTTGGCCCAAGCAGCTGAGAACTAAAGCCTAGGTTGTTGTGGGCAAGGCCTCCACCACTAGCCTTCCACTAATCAAACAGCAGAAGAGGCTGAATCACCAGGCCTGCATAGTTTGAAAATTGTAGACCTGCCTGTTGTGCTGAGTCAAACTGGTTTGTCAGGCTTTGGGGGGGGCAGCTGGGTACCTGATGAGGTGGGAGTGGCCCTTTGGCCCAAGGGCTATCCTAAGGCCAAGTCTCCCATGGTCTTCTGCCTCAGCCCCTGGTCAGGCCACTGGACCAGCATCCAGGGAGGGATGGAGGCCTCATGCCAGGGTCAGCTGTCTGGTCCAGGCTGGCTGGCAGGGTGGGAACATAGAGGCCCTTGGGCTCCCTGCCCTGTGCTTCTCCCCTCTTCTCCCTCTCAGGTTTATTTAATTATAAATCCCCATGATCTTAGGGGAAGAATGAAAAACAAAATGTGTTCTCTGCTTAGAGATGGTTCTCTCCCCACCGTCCCTGATGTGGGGACCAAGGGGCTATAGCTAAGGATGGGAAAGTGGTCCTGGGGAAGCCAAGCAACTCAAAACAAAGACAAGCAAACAAACAAAAAAACCCCACTACAACTACCCGAATACATGCACACACATACACCTCAGATCCCAGGGTAGGACTCCCCCAAGCCCTTTCCTCTCAGGCCTCTGCAGCCGGTAACATGCATGCAGGCAAACTCACACATGACTGGAATAAGAAACAAGAACCTTGATCCCCTGCTTGGGATCCAGGTAGGGACTCTATGGGGACAAGGACAGCAGGGGTAGTTTTCTCTGACCTGCCACAGACAAGACTTCAGGGCACTCCTTTCTGCCAGACCCCTGTCCTCTGTGCCCACCCTGCCCCCTGCTCCCCTAGCCTTGAAACATGACCTTAACTACCACCTCAGAGTCCTCAGTTTGGGTTTAGGCCAGAGGTTCCTTGGTTCTGTCTCCTTTCTTGACTGTTTCCTGGGCCCTCTGTGTCACTTCTGTTCCAGTGGCTTGGAACCTGGAGGTGCTGTGGGGTCTGGCAACTCTGTAATAAAGTTGAGTGGGCCTGGTCTTTCACCAGGACAGGCAGCAAGGCTCTCTCTCAGCTTATGCTCTTGCTCTTGAGCTAGTTTGGTCAAATGAGACCCTCAGAAACAGGCCCGGGCGTCCACAATGTCCCCATGGTGCCTGCTCTCCAGTTTAAGTACGCGCTCCTGCTCCAGACTGCTGAATGGCGCTTCCCTCCTCAAGGCCTAGGAATCCTCAACACACTGCCATTTTGCTGCCAGGGAAGTGGCTTGCTGCTTAGGCAGGGGCTATACCTGGGGAGGCCGCACCCAGCCACACCCAGAATCATCTCAATGCCCCTGCCCCACCCCCAGCCTTGTGACCTGACAGCTCCTGATTTAGCTAGGACAACAGGAAGCAGGACTGGGGTTGCCCTGCCTCGGTGAGAGGCAGGGTGAGAGTTTGCACCTTCTCCCAAGTCTTCCTTCTCTAACTAGGTATCCGAAAGAAGAGCACGCTTGCTGTGTGTGTCTGTTGTATGTAGACCCTACAAGTTGTTACACTGGTTTTTTTGTTTTGTTTTGTTTTTGTGACTGGGTTTCTCTTCGTAGCCCTGATCTGAAATTCACTTTGTAGACCACACCGTCCTCCAACTCTTAGGGCTCTTCCCGCCTCTGCCTCCCGAGTGCTGGGATCAAGGGAGTGCACCACCACCTCCGGGCTAATGGCATTTCCATGCTCCTTCATGGGGCTGTAGTATGTTTTCCGTGTGACTGTAAGAGCGTGTTACAGGTCTATGCAGGGAAACCGGTACTTGTGTTTGTACTTTATGTGCAGGACTGTGTGTCTTGTCGCTGTTGGGTGTGTGAGGAGGATGTACTGTTGGATCGGGCGTGCCGGTCCTTAGAAAGACTGTGTGGCCGAGAGTGGGCCTGCCTAGGGCAAGCTGGTTCTGTGTGTGAGAAAGATTCGCTGTATGTGAATGTCTAAGGGGACTAATCCTGTCGTGCCGTGTGCATCTGTGTCTGAAAAAGACTAGCGGCGTGGGGGGCCATGTGTGTGTTTGCGGGTGGCTGGGGCTGTGTGTATTTTCCACCATATGTGTTGACTTGCTCTGGGAACTGGGTACTGCCTGTGCAATTGTGTTTGTCCACAGGTGAGAGCAGAGCCACAGTTGCTGCCAGGGCTCTTTGCTATGGCTGTGGCCCTGTGGAAATCTGAAAGGGTGTTGCATCGAAGCTCCCCCCACTCCAGGTCATCGGCTTCTCAGTGATTTTTAAGGGCAATATGAGCCCGGTGTCTAGGGGTGGCCCTCGGTTCTTATCTCCCTCCACAGCCACCTGGTGGGGGGTGGGCTCCGTGTGTAAGCAGCAGCTAGGAGTATTTGGAGGTTGCTCACGTTGCTCTTTTGTTCTTAGCCCCTGAGTCTTCTCAGCCGAGAAAAGGGCTTCCTCCCGGTACCGTGGGCAGATGGGTGCTATACTCAGCAGTCAGTCCTTCTGAGGCCAGGGCACTGATCGTCTGCCCTAGACCTGCCTCCCGCGCTTGGGGCAGACTGCAAGGAACAGGCCCCTCCTCTCCCCAGAGAAGTGGGGAAACCAGAGCGCCCGCCTCCTCCCCACCCGGGTGACCGGAGCCCGAGCCCTTCCTCAGGCACACAGGCCTGGAAACCCAAGTCCTCTCCTCATTAATGGGAAAAATGTGCCGAGATTGAGCGATGGCCAAAGGCTGATCCCCCTCCCTCCCTCTCCAGAAATTAAACAGAAATGAAGAGCCTCCCTCTCTCCCTCCTCCTGCGCCCGCCTCCAGCCCTCCCCTCTCTCCTCCCCCGCCCCTCCTCCCGGAGCCGGCGCAGGGCTTGTTTTAAACTGTGGAGGAATCTGGCTGGAGGGGGAGGAGGCCGAATATTTGGGTTTAAACAGTTCCAGATGGGTTTGGCACAGGCCGAGCAGAAGGAAGTGAGGGAGAGGGAGGAGGGAGGCAGCGCGCGGGAGCAGTGGGAGCCCTTGCCTGCTCCGGCGGGCGGGCAGCGGCGGGCGGCGGCGGGCAGACACGCAGGCGGACTGGCCGGCTGGTCGGCTGGGGGAGGGGGTGTGCTTGGCTTTGCGCGCATCGGCTGCTCCCAGGGACAGGAGTATTCCAGGCTGCCGGCTGGGGAAGAGGCCACTTGGCACTCTCCTTCTCTGTCCATGTCTCTTTGGGCCTCCTTGTCTCTTCATCTCACTGTCTGTTGTAGTCCGCTGCCCAGCATCCCTGCTGTCTGGTCCCAGCCTGCCAGAGTCACTTCAGCTTGGCCCATCTTCTGGCCCAGCTAAGCCCTCGCTCTGCCTTCCTATCTCTGGGCCCCTGCTTTTGTCCATCCCTGCTTCCCTGAAGGACCACCTGCCCGACGTGCGTCTGTTGGTCTGTCTGCCACAAGGGGCAGGGACAGCTTTGCCACGTGTCCAGCCCTCTAAGGACCACCAACTGCGTAGCTCTAGAGCACTGCTCTACTGTTCTCTGCCCCTGAGCCGCCCATCCAGGGGGTTCTTTGCCGGCTTCTGCAGGAACATGTGGACCCTCAGCTACCCCACCAAGGATGTGACATGAAGTTCAGGGACAGCCCTGCCCATCCAGCAGCCCCAAGTTGAGGCTGCCTTGGCTCTCAGGCTACAGGAAGAAGTTGGTGGGCCCTTCCTTTCCTGGTATCATGCTGGGTCTGATCTTGGAGTCACGCTGTCTTCAGCTGTCCAGTCAAAGCTCAGAACTGGGTTCTAGGGGTGCAAGTTTGTGTTTGGAGCATTCAGGTGCCCCTCCCATGACTGAGCAAGTTGACCTGACAGGAAACCTGGAGTTAGGAACAGAAAGGGGCTAGCTGTGACACAGAGAGGAAGACAGCTCACCTTACTTGGAGGTCCGAGAAAGTCTGGCTGGGACACACAGCCTCTTCCAAGCTTTGTTTGTTTGTTTTGGGGCCAGTCTTACCATGTGCTCTAGACTAAACTCCCCACCCCCAGCCTCACCCCTTGGTGCTAGGATTACAAGCGTGTATCTCCACACCTGACTTTTCGGTCCCTTTAAAAGGTTTGTCACTGAGTCTGCTGGACTTACACTTGAGCTACCTCCGGCCCCTTGTCCCAGGTCCCAACAGTTTTACCAGAATGTACCAACTCTATGTAGGCATCAGTCTTCCGCAGAGGGCTATGAGCAGCGGTTTCTCCACGGAGTCCATGAAGCTTTACCCTAAGTTCTGGGCGTGAGTGGTCCTTTACCTCAAAGAGCACCAGTTCTGGGCGTGAGTGGTCCTTTACCTCAAAGAGCACCAGTTCTGGGCGTGAGTGGTCCTTTACCTCAAAGAGCACCCTTGCTTCAGCCCTGCAGGTGGCTGAGTGGGAGCTGGGAGCAGGCCCCAGCCTGCCACTGCTCTGCCCTCCCTCCCCAGGGCAGTGTGTGAGGCTGGGCCTTTGTGCTGGGAATGGAGTCAGGGGAGGCCCAGGCTGCAGGGTCTGAAGGCCACAGCCCTTTGTTCCAGGATAAAGGCTCTGCTGGCCCCTTTGTGTGGAGATTAGCAGAGCCTGAGGTGTGTGAACCAGCCTTCGCTCCAGCCTCGTTAACCCAGGCCCAGGGTCACAGACAGACATCTACCCCTAGTCAGCCAGACTGACACTTTGGGGTTGTGACACCTCTGGGGATGTTCTAGGTCTCCTCTGGGGAAAGGGGGGTCTGGGTGGGGGTCTTTGGATATCTGGGAGAGGCTGTGCCCGATGGGTACTGGTCTCTTACATCCTTTCCTGGGTGAGTTCCTCATTCTGAGGTTGACCCCTGACCCTTTCCTTCTGTTGTTTCCCCAGAGACCCTCATGGACACGAAATGGGTGACATCTGAGCTGGCATGGACATCTCATCCAGAAAGTGGGGTAAGACGCTCATCTTCTCTACTGAATACTGGCTGCTGCTATACCTTCTCCTCCCAAGGTCTGGCCATGACTGCCTCTGTCCTCCCCTGTGTCCCCTCCATTTGTCACCGTCATAGCCTGATTCCCCCAAGTGTGTGAATGTTTGTGTCTCCCATTCTTCTGTCTGCTGCTCCATCTTTGTCCTGTCACCCTGACCTGGTGGTCCTTCCCAGTCCATTCAGAGCACCCCCTCCCACCTGGGTCCTCAGAGAGTGCTGGCTCAGGATCCCGGAGGCAAAGCCTAGCACGGTGACATACGCCTTCGGTCACAGAGGCAGGTGGATGGATCTCTAAGTTCTAGGACAGCATGGTCTACATATGTAATGAGAACTTGTCAGAAAGGAAGGGAGGAAGGAAGGAAGGAAGGAAGGAAGGAAGGAAAAGAAAAAAAAGAACCTGGAAGCCCGGGCCCCAGACCTCTACCACCCTGTGTGCCTTTGCACAGGGCAATTGACTTTCCTGGGCCTCTATTTCTTGGCTGTGATATCTCTCAGCCATTGGAATTAACATCCCCAGGTGGCCTTCGTGGCTAGGCTGAGCTTTGGGGCCCTAAGTACAATGGCAGTACAGGCTCTGCAATCATCAGGTCAACTGTGATCTGGCTGGTCTGTCTCTTCTATGGACCTTGGATTTCTTGTGGAATTTTTGTGCCATTGAAATGTGTCGGTAATGCTGACAGCCAGTGTCCACCGAATGCTCTCTCTCTGTCAGGCAAGATCAGCCAAGTTGTGCTGCACTGTTTATTAGTTCCTCATAGCCTCATTTAATTCCAGTCCCACTGTACAAGCGATGAAACTGAGGTCCCAAAATAGCACACACGTAGGACCCACCTCAGGTTCCCAGGCCTCAGCCTCATTCTGAGTGCTGTCTTCATTCAGTTCTGTGTTCCTCGGGTATATTAATTACCTCTCGGTTTCAGACTGCGAAACTGAGGCACAGAGAGGTTAAGTGACATGGTCACCCAGAAAGCTGGGTGTGGGGGTGTACATGCATGCTCAGCCACCCACCACAGAAGCGCCCCTGCAGGGTAAATGCAGCAGCCCCGGACACTAGGCAAGCGGCTCACTCTCTTTTTTGTTTGGTCCACACTCAGTGGGAAGAAGTGAGCGGCTACGATGAAGCCATGAACCCTATCCGAACATACCAGGTGTGTAACGTGCGGGAGTCCAGCCAGAACAACTGGCTTCGAACGGGTTTTATCTGGCGACGGGAAGTGCAGCGTGTCTACGTGGAGCTCAAGTTCACCGTGCGAGACTGCAACAGCATCCCCAACATCCCTGGCTCCTGCAAGGAGACCTTCAACCTCTTCTACTACGAGGCTGACAGTGATGTGGCCTCGGCCTCCTCCCCCTTCTGGATGGAGAACCC